TATGATGATGATGGATGGATTGATGATGGATGTATGATGATGATGAGGATGGGTGGATGATGATGATGGATGGATGATGATGATGATGGATGGATTGATGATGGATGTATGATGATGATGAGGATGGGTGGATGATGATGATGGATGGATGATGATGATGATGGATGGATTGATGATGGATGTATGATGATGATGAGGATGGGTGGATGATGATGATGGATGGATTGATGATGATGTATGATGATGATGGATGGATGATGATGATGGATGACGGATGGATGGATGGATGATGATGATGATGATGGATGGATGATGGATGAATGATGATGATGAGGATGGATGGATGATGATGATGATGGATGGATGACGGATGGATGATCATTTGTGTCCAAACAGACTCAGTGCCACTAAAGTTGCAGCTTTTCCAGGGATGACGTCTTTAGCAGTTTTGCTGTCAGCCATGTTTGTTTTAGCTGTTAAACTGATATCTCTGCGCTGCATGAAGCAGGCATCCTCTATGCCGTCTGTTGGAGCAGCAGCCTGTCTAAGCCTTGCAGGAAGTGGTTGGAGAAGCTGTTTCCGTTCTAGGAGGCCCTCCATCCAGAGCAAATGGAGGGAGGCAGAATGAACTGCTCCTTAGGTGCACAAAGCAGTGCTGTTGCAGGTCCTTCTTCCCAGCAGCTGATCTTTACATAGCTGCTATTTTTTTCCAACTTTTCTCCATATTCTTGGAGATTCGGTTTGTTTTTAGGTAAATGAACCCCAGCTGAGATAAAGCATGAGATAATATGGATGGATGGATGGATGGATGGATGGATGGATGGATGGATGGATGGATGGATGGATGAACTTACTGAAAAGTCTTATTTGGATTATTACTTCTCATTTTATGGTTGCCATGGCTTTGCTGCTGATAGACTTGCAGCCATTGAAATCTAACTGAACATAGAAAGCAGAGCCACTCAGAGGAACTCTCTATGGTTTCATAAGTGACTTCTAAAAGCTGCGCATGCTCACGGTTCCGCTGAAGGCACTGTAGTATCTATGCCGGGCCCTTTGGTGGCGCTGTTACTGTGACGAAGACACAAACCACAGCCACCCAGAAAAACACCGTCGTCCCAAATGAACACAGAGCAAAGATGTGGCCCTTATGTCCCTCAGCGGTTAGAAAGCTGCTCTTCTTTGCTTCCAGGATTCTAAAATGATTATTTTCTCCTAAAGCAGTAAATACCTGTTGGTATCCTTTGACCCCGCCCCTCTGTGTGGACACGCCCTTAGGAACATACCTGACCACTGAAAAGTCCTCACATCCCTCTGAAAATAAGAATTGATTTTCAGAGGCAAACATAAAAGTTGCTCAACGTTCAGCTTTTATTTTCCCTTCAATCTTTGTTCTTCTCTCAGAGCCTGATACCCACAGCTCTTCTTTAAGGACCGACTCAGTTTCACTTTAGTTCTGGTTTCCTGTGATGCTGAAAAATGAAAGGTAACCATGGAGCGCGGCGCTAACCCTCTCTGTAGCTGCAGCGTTGTTTCCGTTGGCAGCTTCGCTGGCTTTCATAGCATGCTGGGTTTCTCTGCACAGGGCAATAAAAGTTCTGCTCCTAGAAAACGACCCGATTCGATTTACCAAACTTGGATTTGATACAATAGATAGAATAAGAAACGGTTGAACCTGAGCTCAGAGGCCTTAATGGCCCTGAGATGCTTTCAAGGCTCCTGAACTTTCCTTCAGGTTTGACAGGTTCTCCATTTGATGCACGGCGGGAGCTCAGGAAGACTGACTGCTGGAACTGAAGGTGGTGGTTACTGGTTTAAAAGCTGGAACATTGTAGTTGGTTTGGTTTTTAATTGAATTATGCAGCTTCTGTTTCGCATAAAATAATAGAGAAAGTTACAGGATTAAGACCAAGAAGGAGAACCTGTCCTCCTCACAGGTTGAACTGGAGTGAAATCTAACATTTTACTCTGTAGGAATGATGGGAACTCATTTTTCATTTTTTATCTCGCTGTTAAAAAGAGGAATATCTGGTTAATGAGAAAATGGCTCCGTCTGTATTTAAAGGTTTATTAAAAGAATGGCGTGGTTCCACTGCTGCTGCTGGTTTCCAGCAGTGTGGCTGTTTTTCAGAAGCTGTTGCTAAAGTGTGAAGCATGCAACCTGAAGCCTGTGGTGTAAACTAGATGCACTGTCATCCTCTCTGCAACGCATTGAGAAACACCCTGAAACTGTCAACACCCGTGAACTTACACAGCCGCTCCATTTAAAAGACACTTTTATCAGTTTGCTGCTAAAAGAAGAATCTTCAGGATGTTGCTGAACGGATCCAGCGAGGAACAAGCAGGAGTCTGTCCTGCAGATTCCCAGCGTCTCTAAAAGGAGCGGCAGGGACAGAAGAAGCTGAGGAAGATAAGTCCTTAGAGGGAGCATGTGGTTTTCTGATGACGGCTCGCTGTCACTCAAGTGTCCCGCTCTGAGCGCAGATAAAGACACAGCTGAGCAGAATGTGAGGGCTGGAAATGGAGCGGATGTTTGGCTGCTGCTGACAGCCTTACTATGGAGGCTGGAGCAAATCAACCAGAGACCAAACAGGGGAGACGCCTCCTCGCCCTGCAGACGCCTCCTCGCCCTGCAGAGGCCTCCTCGCCCTGCAGAGGCCTCCTCGCCCTGCAGACGCCTCCTCGCCCTGCAGAGGCCTTACTGCCAGGCTGCAGCTCTCCATATGTGCTTCTGATGCCAAACTCTCTGGCTTCTCTAAAAATACAGATTTTGGGAAATCCAGCAAATATTCCTCATGTTTGTTCCAGAGTACAGAAGGTTGACTGCGGCTGAACTTCCTCATTCCTCAGTAACTACAGTAATTACTGCTGTGACCCTGCACTTCCTCTGGGCCGGCTGGAGATATTAACAGTACAGTTTCAAAGCTTCTCAGACTTTGTGTTGTTTGGACACATTTCCTGTGTGTTTAAATTGAACAGGAAGAGCAGGGAGGCGCATTTTTAAACCCTGCCTCTGAAACGGCGTGCCTCAGTCAGAAATGTGCGTTAGGATTAGTCAACAGCGTCTGTCCTCGTTCCAGAGCTGCTCTGTTTGGACAGGACTCCACAGTCCCCTCTGAATCATAGCTGGGAGGATACGGATGTCTGAGATGCCCTTTTATGGCGTTTTAGGGCCTTTAGAGAAACAGGAAGAGGCATCAGATCATCTGATCTCACAACAAGCTTGTCGTTTCAGAGTTCTGGAAGAGTTGGATCATCCTTCAGCAGTGAGGGATGATCCAACGTCTGACTGAATAAAGATCCAGAGTAGAGGAAGGTCTTTCTGCTGCCGGTTTGTCACGTCTGGTTTCTGCAGTAAACGTTCTCACAGGCTTCCTCTGGCCCAGCTGCCGGTTCTCACGTCGCATCAGAGTCTTGATGGTTGTTTTAGGCGCATCACTTCCCTTTTTAAAAATAGTTATTTACAGCTGCAACCAATTTATGTTTTTAACAGATACTCATCAGCTGCTTTAAAGTTCTCTGTTATTTGACTTCATACTGGCCCTTATACTGGCCCTTATACTGGCAGGCCCTTATACCGGCCCTTATACTGGCCGTTATACTGGCCGTTATACTGGCAGGCCCTTATACTGGCCCTTATACTGGCCGTTATACTGGCAGGCCCTTATACTGGCCGTTATACTGGCCGGCTGTTATACTGGCTGGTTTCTCCAATATAAAGATCAGAGCGTTCCTCACTGCATTGAACTGCAGACACTCTGCTCAGATGTGGTCTGGGGGTGTTTGATTTCCGACATTTTGAAGTGAAAACACTTCCTGGATGGGAAGCGAAATGTCTGAAAACTTGGAAGCAAAGTCCAGTGGATTGTTTTTGAACTTTTTTGGATTGACTGAGAATCTTCACCGGCTAGAAAATTAGACCTAAATCAGTTTTTACAGTGAACTGTTCATTTGCTTTTTAATGAACAATTTTATTATTTTAGATCCAAATGGTTCCGTGTTAAAGAGGAGGCAGGACACTAGGTCTGTAGGAGCTGAGCTGTCGGGGGCCCACTGTTTGTGGCCCCCTGAAGGACTGTTTCCATCTTGGTCACATTTAAATGTTTCAGAACATTAAAGACATTTGAAGGCAGTTTTTAGATTAAGATTTTGTTTTGGTTAACGTCAATAACAGACGGCCCCTCAGCAGCAGCAGTCCAGTTCTGATCCACTCATTTACAGAGGTCAGGCTACAACATCACAGTAGGTCTAAGGTCAAGCCTTTGACTAGGCCACTCCAAAGTCATGATTTCCTTTTTTCTTCAGCCGTTGTT